TGATACAACTTATCTGGGGTTGATACCTTTGATTATGAATTTAGATACGCACTGCAGAATTGTCACACTCATAAAATTGAAGTTGGACGCTACAGAAATATTCCCTTAAATGGCAGAATTTCTGACACGTGTAAACCAAAACTTGTTTTCTTATCGAATGCAATAAATACCAGCATCTCAGAAAAGAACTCCACAATTTCAATAGAAAATCATTACAGTCATAGATTACTAATTAATTTCTGGTAAAAAGCTGCTAGTTTACCTAAGAGTGGTAACATTTATCAAAACTGGTTTGGAAATCAAACAAGATGTCTTTTTTTTTCTTTGATTTGTATTATATGCGTTTATGTGTGTGCTTGTCTTGGTGTCTCTGTCTTGTGGTTCTATTTCTTTTTATTCTTCATTTTGCATTTTCCCCTAGTTATTATAACCATTTTCATCCCTTCGGAAGGACCTATGAGTGTTACTGGATGAATAAAATGTTTCTTTTTAGAATTCCATGGCTGAAGGTGCTCCTGGGATATTGCTTCTAAAACATTGCCACTTGAATCATTATTGCTGTAAAAACATTCAAGTTGTTGTCTACAACTAAAAAGGGACAATTTCAATCAACGAGACAATGTCTCTACTACCGCCCACCCAATTCGTACTAATAACAAAAAAGTTCGGCATTGCTCCACATCGTCCGCTTGCACAGCGTTGTTCCGTTCGAACATTCCTCCTCGATAGTGGAGTGCTTCGCCGAAACATTCACCTTGACAATTCAGGATATTGCTCCATGGATTAATAAACCTCATTTTAATGATAATGTTTACATTCCTACAGCAGCGATGTTGATCATATTTATCATGATTGCGATAAAAAACACACGCTTGTATCAGATGTATAACAATGCAAGGAATGAAAAGCACGCCATGTTTGCATATTTTCATTTATTTATAAATGCATATTTTTTTGTTCTAATATAATCAATATCGGTTGCACATAACAAAATACTATATAAAAGTTTTTAAATGATAATCACTACTTCTCGTTCTTTGTAGTATGGCAATTGTTTGGAGACTATTCACAAAACGTAATATTATATAATTAATTAATTATCTCTTCAGCTCTCGTATATATACAACAATACAGTTGTGTTGCAAGCAATGTTGCCTTCAAATCTGCTGTAATCGTTGTCAGCCAATTACTTAACGATATTGCTGGTTAGGTTTACGAAAGAAACTCACCGCCACAGTTCTAAATCACATTTTTCGTTTGTTTACAAAAATGACACTCAAGTATTTAATTCTGACACATCTCATCAATTTTGGACTTGGCATTATTTCAAAAAATATCAATAGTAATAACAGAATTTGCGGATAATTCTTGACAACTATAAGCACCCATCTTATAATTATTTATTTACTTACTTATTGTTTTCACCATGTGAATCCAATGAAATTGTGAGATAAGGTGAGAGATTGTTACCATGGAAACCAATAGAAAAATGCTCAAATATCACGATTTTCCTGGTTGTTTGACCCACGTTTTTTTTGCAAAAGGTAGTTTGGTAACAAAAAAATTGTATTTGGCGTTTGTGAACAATAAAAACAGAAACGTTGACGACCACACGCAGTGGGGGTAAACCGGATTGAAATTCGTTCTTTATAATACTATTTACCCTTTTTCGCACTTTCGACGTATTTGGTAAATACAGTACTAAAATCAAGCACCAGTATTCAGCCTGGAGATAATATGCAAATTAGTTCGTACTCATTATGGCAATAATTTTTACATAATTACGTAACACATGGTTCTATTCGATATGACGAGACGTGTTCTTTTTATACTGCATGTGTTTTATTGATAATTATCAACACTATAATGCATCCTGATGAGAATTGCTTGAAGGGCGAGGGACGACGACGACTTGTTTTGCACTCGTTGAATACGTCGCCTGTGGGGCCGTCGTCCGTGATGTGTTGGCGACAACCATTACATTTCCGATAAATGATATCTAAAATACCAGTGGACTTCGCGTGACGTCACAATATATCCATGGCACTCACAATCAGTTCCACCTTAACAACATAATCATCCATGTATGTTAGATATGTAGGTGTACTACGGACAGTACAGTTTAATCATTGAAGAATAAAAACGTTTGTACCTGTACGAATACATAATGTAGACCCAGGACAAACAATCGAACATGAATAGACAAGAAAAAACAATGGGTCAACAGTGGAGTTTTTTATCTCCATGGTTCAGCCAAAGACCTCAGGGTCTATGGTTAAACACGATCTGCATGTGAATACTTTAACAATACATCTCTCTGTAAATCCGCCAGATATTTGCACGTCGTATCGATCAAGAAAAAATACTTACTCCAAAACAACATGTTACCATGGTGCACGGCTATTGTGGAAATTGATTGGCTTAATGATGCTATTGGTAAAAACCTTTGTTGTGATACCACAGCTATTGTAATCGAGCCAATAAATCGAACTGCCGTTTGTCTGGAGTTAGAATAAAGCAAAATTACAACGCGTGGCAAGTAAATAACTATATATACCAAACCCACGCAAGAACCGTCCCCTTTAAAAATGAGCCTTTACTGGTCGGGGTATTGACTCATTGGCATTCCAGCGCAGGAAAAGGGAGAACTGAATGGAAAATCCGGGAACACCGCACCTATAGGATGTTCACTATATCGCTGGTAATGCTTTATGTTAGCCAATACGTTTCTTTTTGTGTACTTAGACGCCCCCGGGTGGCTGACTATAGTTAAGGAAGTTATTTGATCTTTGTCTGCTATTAAGCCTATTTAAGCGCCCATTCGGTCGCTGTTTAGTCTTATACGAGGACCTTTATTTTTCGTTTTGCAGTGCGTAGTGCATTATAATTTCGCCAGGAGGAACCGCAGTAACATGTATGCCACTCGGTTCAGCCCACAAGTTCCTAAGAAGCCCTCCACTAACAGTAACGCGTCGACGAAACAAGGAGGGACCGATGAAATTGCCAGAGAAGACAGAAAACGGGTAAGCATTTGGTAAAAAGGGGTGCGTCCGTCATTATTATTGCTATTGTGTATTAGCATGTGCCCGCCTGCCGTTTAGTGTCAAACAGTTGTGTGTATAATACTACATGTATATATGAGGACTGTGTATAAACCAGGTTTCAAGGCATCGTTTTAAAGCATAAACCAAAACTATTCACTTTCTCGTAGTCTTGTTTATAAATCCACTGCGCAGTTTTCTCCGGGAAGAGCGGCCCTGGGGGACACAGACAGATATAACAAAAGGCGTACCGACAAGGTTCACATACTAGTCTGTGTACGGGTCAAAGGAATCACAAATGCTGCTTCCTATTCCGTCAACCATGGAAGCGTAAAAG